AAAATGCATATTCTGGAATGACATAACCAAAAAAATCCCACCAAACAAACTAGTATGCAAGAATAATCTCTTATATTGTGAATATTGGAAAGAAAATATCAACCAAGTAACTGCTGAATACAGCCAGTGAATCTTTTACCCAACATTTCTTTCAACAACACGATTAGGTACCTCAAATCTTACTCAGTGAGTTGAAAAAAACCCAAAACAGCAACAAAATCATCACAAGTTGTACTTGAAAGGCAATAAAACTATTTTCACCAGTCACCAAAACCAATTTCACCAAAGATGAAAATTCTACCTGTCATACAACCCATATAATTATTCATAGCTTAGTTAAACTGCAAAGAATTAAAGTTGCAAAAAGTGCTCTTACAAATCACAAATTTGTCAGCCAAGATTAAAAAAAACCTTGTAATAAGTTTGCTCTTTGCACACATACAAAATCTACATGAGGGAAACTAACACTTCTTGAGAACTTTGCAATACATAGACAATACCATTTCATTTTATACTCAGACTAATTACATAGCCTACATTAGTGTGCACTGCTACATCCCTTGTTTATTAGCATTTAAACTACTGTAATCATACCTCCTTCCACTGATTTGATAAATGTGCATCATGAAACCATTCTCTTTGCACACTGCATTTCAGGCACTAACTCTCAGTTGCAATGGTGAATTAAGAGCTAGTTTCTCTTAGATGACAAAGAAATTCCATGACGCTTGAAGACTGGGTCAGGTTTTAAAACACATTTTGGAGTTACTAGCCTGTGAACCTCGCTACCTGCAGCGCACGCGTGGAAGAAGAGCTTGAGCCGCTGCTGCCTGCGGCACTGCAGGAGCAGGTTCAGCGCCAGGAGCACCATGGAGAGCTCCCCAGGCGCCAGCGCCTCCCTCCCGGGCAAGGAGCCCTCCGGCTCCAGCTCTTCCACGCCCCTCCGGGCATCTCCTTGGAATCTCTTTGGCAGGTTCCAAAACTTCTGCCTGACTGCTGTTTCATAGGTACAAGCTGAAAGGATGGTAAAGCACCTCCCCCTGCCCACCTCCCTGGAAGTGGTCTGTAAGACTAAGGGTATGATTATCCAAATAACCATCTATTGAAGTTACTGTATATTTGAAGATGCCAGTTTTGAAGCTACCTAGGGTGTGAGTATCATGCATAAATATAAACCCGTGTAAGATAATCATACAAAAATTAAGCCTTATGCTATGTTGTTTTTACTACTGAAGCAGGTATTTTCCGTAACTCCATTGCACTTACATCAGTATAGTTCCAATGACCCTGCACTGCTTTCTGGCACAGAGATGTCCCTTTGTGTAACAGATATTCACAAAAGCAGAATGGGAATGCAAACACCCTCAGGCCAGACCTCAAAACCAGCCTTTCGTTCCTTTATATGGAATTTTAGCTTTGATTTTTTTTTTAATTGAATGGAAGAACCTTAGTAAGCACATTAGGAAGATACAGTGGCAGACAGTAAAAGGAAGTCTGTCATAGGGTCAGGCATTGGTATAGAAATCATTAGAACAATCACATAAATAGGTTTCACTTTAAATGGACAGTAACTACATTAGTTTAATGTCTGATGCTTCACAAGACTCCAGCAGCATTCAGTCCTGTTTTGTATCAACTTTGATTTAGCAAAACAACTTTCTACATTTGTGTAACTTACGAGTTCTCACAAAACATACGTGTGCACTCAAGAGCACCACCTATATATATATATGTGTGTACACACACACACAACTGGAAAGACAGATGCTAAATGGAGTAATCATATCATCTTAATTGTACACATGAACTCTAAGGAATTTAGGCTTTGAAGTTAAATATCTGTCAACAAGGCATCCAGAGAATGACACTAGCTAAGTTTAGACTGATCAGTGAAGTGCATTAGCAATGCATAGTTCATTAGGGTTTTTATCCTCACAATTATCACCATTTTGATTCTTGAGACTTTTTGGAACACTCCCCTTTCAATGTATGTATCCGTGTTTTTTCCTCCCATGAAAACCAAGGCATAAAGGCGGGGGGAGGGCTAAGGTAAGAGTGTTTGGACCTAGGTCGTTAATAAATTAAATTCCAGAACTTCTTGACACAAATAATGTACCTAAAGATTCAAAATTCAGAGTCCATCTCCCTTACCAGTTTATTTTTTCTTTAAATGTAACAAATTTGTTTCCCCTATTCAGGTCTGCAGGGGTATTATGAAAACAAATCTGCTATTTCATAACAAACATTCCACTGAGGTGAAATTACAGCGATCTGTGCTGGTAACTTGGGTAATACAGTCTACTGTCTGTAACATCAGAGACTTTAGAAACCTATGTCATTCAGTAACAAAACCAGTTGATAAAGTAGAAACATACTAGGCCTCTGATAGTCTCACTATACAGCAGTAAACTGCATAGTCAATTAAATTTTCATTGTCTGCTAATATTTATTGTAGATTCAAACACACGTTATCCAATGTTACTATCAACAGTCATTTATTTTTCACTAGACCTTCCTGTAAGGCCAAATTGAAAGTTCAGAAAAATCTTTTTAACATGCTTCTTTCAGTTCAGGTTAAGCCCCTGTCTAGTCCTTCCTATAAACCATAAACATGTAAATAACGTAAATGATGTGTCACTTGAGTAATTTACTAAATGCTGCATTGGAAGCAAAGAGTTACACAAACAGCTGAAAAAGCAGAAATTATGGTAACTGTATGGGAATTGATTTGAAACTAGGCAACCCACCACCTACAATTCAAAGGAGAAACATTTTTCTAGTTATAGCAATCCTGGAAAACCTGGAAGGTATTTATTTCCTTACTAAACTTCCCTTTGTAGAAAGCATTTTCAATAAATGGTAAAATGCATTTTTCCAGCAGAAAAGTCATCAAGTCAGACAAAGGAATTGATTCCTCAGTAGATTCAATAACTGATCAAACCTATTCTGGACTTGTACCTTTGCTGATGGACACTGAGCTTGCAATAATTCAGTCCGCAGATCTCCATGGCCCAAGTCCAGGGCAAATTTTCTAAAGCAGGCTTATCTATGCAAAGGATGCAGGATTCCAATTTTTCCAAGTACAGATATGCATGTGCCAAAATATGGATCCTAGAGCCTAAATTACCTAGAACTTAATTTGGCTAAGATTTGCCAGTTCTAACTAGCATTACCAGTCATCCATCCTACCATGCCCAGTAGCCAGCTTACGCAAATTATAATAAAACGAGACCACACTGAATGAAAGATAATTTCTAAAAATAATTTTGTATAATAAGTGTAAGACAATTCCACACCACTGAACTAATTCTAAAAAATCAATAGTTTGTCACCTGCAACATGACTACATCAAGACTCTTAAACCTCTCATTCTCCAAGACTGGTACCTGCTTTGGAGAAGCTTTTCTTCGATCATGCTTTCTTCAAAATTGATCCTGTTGATTGTACTCACAAGTCTTCAGAATGCAAACAACGATCATAATACTGTCATGGAGCACTACATTATATTTTGCATAAGCTACAAAGAAATTATATGAATTGATAGTAATGGTGTTTCTGAGCTAAAAGTAACCATTTCTGACAAAAAGCATATTTATTGTGGGAAAGGCACGATTAAGTTCTTTCAGATTGTTCTTTCACGCATAACTAAGATGGTGCCAGTACTTCCAAGCAAAACTTCACAAAACAAATTACTACATTCAGATACAAGTTAAGTGTTTTGGCTTGTGAATGGTTTTAATATCCTGTGTAATTTCTTAAAAAAACAACTTCCAGGGCCTGACCCCTCTTCACAATGAATTACTGCGAAGCCTGTTACTAACTTCAAGAGGCTGCTGTTCAGAGCCCAACAATACACAAAATTGCAAAAAAAACATGTAAGGTGTTAACACATAAACCTATGGAGCACAGTTACTCCATCATGCACTCATATGTAAGCTGTGCTATTTGCACAGGAATAAGAATAAAGTCACAGTCACTACTTACATCAAATTCTACTGCTCTAATAACATACACTTTTAGGCAACTCTTTTTTTTTTTATTGGATACATCAAGAAAGCCATTTTCAAAGTAAGAGTTCAACATTTAGGTAGGATAAGCATAGACTTTGTCTCTCCTTCAGGAAATGAGGGAACAGAAAAAAGGAGTGGGACCTTTGGAAACCTTTAAAGACAAAAAGCACAAAACTTTTAGATATGCGAGTTATGGTAGAGCACAGGAGGAACAACACATGAATTTCTGAAGAAAAGAAACTTAATACAATTACAATACCATATTTGTCCTTATAAATACATAAAAATATTAACAAGTTCTTACTGGGAAAACAGAACACGGAAAGCCACACACAAAAATCTTGCTTTTCTTCTTACATGTGAACAGAATTCTCAGGTACTTTTTCCACTTTGATTCTTTAAAAAAAAATTCTAGGAAGTAACTGGAAAGTCCGATTAGGGTATTACTGTTAAAGAGTTTAATGGGATCCATGTGCACTTTTAACTAGGAATTTATAAGCAGTTGTTCATGTTGTTTTCACTTAGAACATAGCATATGAGTTATTGTCACATATGAAAAAAATGCCTCCACAGAGAAACTTTTCAAGCCTGAGTTCTTCATGGCTAGTTCCCTATGGGTAAGTATTATCCTACATATGTGATTTAAATAATTTTTTATCTAGTAGGATTTACAAGAAAAATAACATTGAACAACTTCTGCTACCTAAGTTACTTAACACATTTTTGCCTTAATTTTAAATATTTCTAAGAGATTAAAGAGTATTTCCTTGAATGGCACAGTTTTAGGTACCTGCTATTTCTATATACAGTATATATATTGGTTTATAAATAACTGCATAACCAGAAGATTGCACTCAGAAAATTACAATATGATGTTTCAACACGTTTGCAGCATGAAGTCTATGTGGAAGGAGTGCTCTAGCTTTCCATGAAGCAGTACATAGCAGATGCTTCCAATTTCTCATTTTCTTTTTGCTTTTAAGAATGTGTTCACACAATCATTCTTCGAATTCCACATTCACAGCAAAACTTTGCCCATTCCACTGGATACCTTGTTCCACATTCATGGCAGAACTTTGATAACTGTACAGGTGAATTTCCTTCGCTGCTTTTTGAACTTCCTCCATTGACTGAGGATGGGTAGTCTCCACTGTCATACCCAATTTTAACATCAGATCTGAAAATCCCCAGATAAAGAACATTCTAAGTAACTCAGTTCAGTTATTGATGCAAAGTTATTCTAATCCTTGCAGTGAATTACTGCTATGGTTACTATCATTTTCATGCCTACATATCCTATTTATTTACAGTGGTACACCTTATAATTCCACCCAGACTCCCCTACATATCTCCAGATATCCACCTTCCCCACAAGAAAACCAAACTATGCCAAAATTTTAGGAACAGGATCAAAAATCTGATTCACTAGTTACATTAACTGGAGTGTATGAAAAACTAAAACTTAGCTTGTCAAAACAAGAAAGGCTAAAAGAGCAATACAATTTTTATCCTACCCTTTAAAAGGGAAGACAACACACCATTTGTGTGCTTAGCATGCAAATTTCATTAATTTTGAACTGAACCACTCATTTCCCATTTGAAAGACCATTCACTTTTTTTTTTTCAACAGCTCCTAGGGGGTTTTTGACATTTCTAAGTGTCTTCTGTGCACATCTGAGACAGCTGATGGCAAAGGTATTCTGCTGGATGATAACTATGCAAAATACATTCAGTATCTTAAACATGTCAAATAATATTGACCATGAGTTACCTACTAACTGCAGAGAACAATATTTTCCCCAACTTCTTTTGTAATAAGTACTCCCCTTTAATAAAGGTTCTATTGCTGACAAAATCCACAAAGTTAAAAGCTACCTTAGGTAACTGTCTGAATTGCTAGTTTTTCTTTTGTTTGTTAGGGCACCCGTGCTCATGGTTCTTGCCACACTAGGAGGGGTCGATGTCCGTGGTTTTGTTGTGCCTCTAAAACAGAATAAATATCTGATGATTTATATACACACAGAGAAATATATACAAGAATAGGCATTTATAAATTATATAAAAAAATTAATTCAACAATCTACACGTGAATTAATTGTATGAAAAATATAACTTATTTCCTACCAAGGGCAGACAGAAGAGCTTTGGCATGAACCTGCATGGTTTGGACTGAGTATGACTTGAATCTTACAATGACAAGCTAAACAGAACAGCAACTCTCTTCCTGTTCATGTGTTTCACTTGCTATCACACCAAAATACAGCTAGATCCTGCACTACTGGTTGCTTAGTGTGTTCTAATGTCTACATTGACTGACTACAAGTCACTTTTTAGGACTGGCAGGGCTTTCAGAGAAACACAATGCAGCTGACTGCAGGTTTTAATAGTTTAAAAAAATATGTGGAAAGGATACCATATTCTCAATACTTTCTGACCAACATGAATTTTTTTTCTTCATAGCCACAGACTTTATTTAGGATGCATACTTCTCAGATAATGCTGTATAGCCTCTTTCTTCAAAACATAAATATTGTATTTATAAATAGAAGGAGGAGAGTAAAGAAAGTCTATCCAGGCATTACAGCGTATTTTTTTTCTAGTCTATCACGGAGTTTTTAAAGTTGGCTTCAACAGCATGACCACATAGCTGCGAAAGCTGCTTTCCTCAAGACTCACAGATCTTCTGAGAAGCCAGTATGCAACAAATAGCACATCCTGAACATACAGAACCTCTCACTGCTTGCTTTGATGAGTAGAGAAACATCAGAATCCTCTGAAAAATATGAGTAACATTAAGAAAAAGAGATAGGAAGGGGCATCCTTTTCTCATCAGTGACGAAAGACAGAATCTTTTCATCATTGCTCAAAGGAATTACCATGCACTGGGATTTCTTCTTCTTTGGCAAGACTTCAGGGACTATAACATCTTGTGCATGACCCACCAAGTTTTTCTGTACGCATTCTTGAGCACCAATGCATACATGAAATTTAAGTTGGGACTGCCTCACGGACATTAAAAAAAAAAATTATAATAAGACTCCATTTAAAAAATTAGTCACCAAGAGCCTAATCAGCAACAAAAACCCAGAGCTGATTTTTTTTTTTTCCTTCCCTTCAGATGAACCTAACTGCTCCTTTCAGAATTATGAACAACTTAGTGTTGGTTTGGTTTTCGAAGTATGTATAAGGAAATGCATTCAACTCCAGTAACTTCAAATGCAACACTGACACAACTGAGGAAGAACATATTAACTCCTGAATTTTAGACATGTTGCATAAAACATTTCTTTCTTCATGTTATGAGTATAGGCTAAAGATGGCTTTTCAGCTCCTTCCATCACTTAAAAACTTGAGTGGAAAAGTGATCAAATGATTAAACACAAAAGTGGAATAAGATTAAATCAAGTGAAATTGTATTTAACTAAAGTATTCAAGTTTAACAAGAATGGCTTCTACACGCAACAGGTAGAGTGAAACCATCAAAGATTCTGGCTTGCTGGGCAGAACACCTACCTTCTCCATATATCCTGTCAGCCCTCTTGTTTAGCAAGGAGATTCTAAAGATGGTTTTATTTTAAAAAAATACTGTACAGACTGAAAAGCAGTACATAAGTTGTATCAGAATTAAAACCTATTAAAAGCTATGTCAGTCTTGCAGAAGTTATGGAATTCCAGGATAAAGTTCTAAATGTAACCTAAATTACACTGTTGTAAGTATGCACAAGAGTACACATGCTAAATACTCTATCTTGTGTTATTTCCCCATCTCATTTCACACTGAACAGTGGCCTTTGCATATATCTGAGTAAAATTAGAGCTCAGTAGCGGAAAGAACATATTGGACTGTTAATTTACTTGTTATGGAAGCTAGAAAAGCAGATAAAGAAAAATGCAGCTGTAGACACAGAAATGGTATAATCATAGATCAGGGATGATCACATGATGCAAAGAACAGAATTTTGTCTCAATTCCTGTTTAGACAACTACAAGTAATTTAAAACAAATTTTTTCAGAAGTATTACTTACTCAGTTTTCTCTGGCTTTTCAACTTAGGACCAAAATACTACCTTTTAAAACTAACAACATTAATTTCTTAAACTGAGGTCTCTCCAGGGTGTACTTTGAATCAAATGTTTTTGAACATAAAGCTAGTAGTCCTAGATATTTGAAAGAAATCAACATGAAATATTGTCCACTATTTTTTCCTGTATTTCAACTGTTCAATTCTCTAAAATATGTATAATATACCCTCATCCCACTAGGTACTCTGAAAATTCACCTGATGCTTTAATTCTAGGTGTACACTACAGAAATTTCCCAGAAAACAATGTCTTAAAAACATGATTTGTATGGTGTCTAGTATAGCATACAGGCCACAGATCAAACTAGGAAAAAAGAAAAGCCAAAATACTGAAAAGCCAGACTGAAAGTGCACTGTCCACCCTGCCTATTGAGGGAGACAGAGTCCCATGAACAGACAAAACATCATTCGTTAAAGGTTTAACAGGATGTCTTAATTCTGAAATGTTTAAACATAGCTCTCTGCATAATTTCTTCAGAATTTTTCCCTATTATCTTTCTAAAAATACAGAAAAAAACAAATCTATTTTCAGACTAGCAACTTCAATAGGAGTCTTATAATTAACTGCAATGATTTCTGCCATTTTTGATGAGTAAATCAACAGCAGTAGCAGGCTGCACCATCTACAACTGTATACATCTAGTTGAATTACCACTGCTTGCAAAATGAAAAACTGAAAGAGATTTTTAAAACAAGCTTGTCTTTTTCTACTTACACATTCACAATGTGGTTGGATTTTGCCATAAAAACTGAAATATCAAGCTTGCTTCCTAGACAGGGCATTTTCAGGTATTTTTGACAGCTATCAGTTACCCACAACAGCTCATAGTTCTGTGCAAAATCATAAATAAATTCCTTATAACTAATGGCATGCACTTTGCCATAAACTGTAACCATCCACATTGCTATGCTCAATTTAACAATGGCCTAGTAGCTATTTACATCTGTTGAATGCTGTTGGCACATAACATACTGAATAACCTCCTGCAAGGAAGGCAGATTTAATCCATGAAGTCAGTGGACATTTCAATAAGAACAACAGTGATATTATGAAGAGAAGAATAAATGCCTCAAGAAGTTCAGAAGTTCTCTCAAGAAAAGAACTGCTCTATGGATAGGGGCTACTGCAAAGCCAAATTTTCAACATCTTAGTAATGTATTATAAAATTAAAAACTGACTTTTTTTTTGGTGATTCACAGGATTTATAGCTCTACCCAAAGATGCAAAAGAAAAAAAAAATCCTGTTTGTCTAAAATAAACTCCCCCCACTTTCATTCCTTTAATTTCTTCAAATAGAAACCCCAGTTGAAATATTCTTGCCCTGTCTGAAAGATACTTCAGCTTTGGTTACAACACTAAAGCAGCATTAAGAGACTTAGACATATTTCTACTATTTAAGCATTACATTCCATATATGTGCCACATAATTCATTACTAATTTCTCTTTTGCAATATGGTTTATGGTATTTTTTATGAAGAATCAGCCCATTTGCATTTGGCATTTTCCAAATTATGTCAAAGGGTTAACCACAATATAGTATCTATTTCCTTTTTAAAAGACTGGAATACCCTTTCTTCCAAACTTATATCTTAAACTTGCTGAATATTCAGCAGTCTTTATATGAGATAAGTTGGACTTAATAAAATACTTTACCTCACATTACAAAGTCTGCCTTGCTTACATTCTTGGACCACCACAGCTATCTTACAGAAGTAGGAGATAAATATTTGACTTTAAGAGAATAAAATTACTTTGTCATAAAACATTTGCCTGTAAGGCAGGTATTTGTACAGTTATCGGCTTAAATGCTTACTTCAGCTTTAAACAATGCAAATTCAGTTTTATCTCAGGTTTACAAAGATGGAAGTTCGTTATTCTTGGTCCATCATCAATCAGTGACAGAAGAAATCAAATCTGAGACAAAGTCTTCATCTTTCCTGTCCTACTACGAAGCTGTTGACATAGCATGAAACAGATACTTATACTAATTATATTATAAACTGTTCTCCGACAGCATTTATATTGAAGACATACTGGGCAGCAGATGTCTCTCAAGGTCACACCTTTACTATCCGATGCTTTGGTGGAACATTTCTGCAAAACAGATAAACCACGCTGATTTGTAATACTTACTTCTTCATAGGCAACAATTCATTTGGTCTTTTGATGGTACTGTCTGTTTTTGTATCAGTGTCATAAAACCTTTGCACATCTCTTCCAGTTCGCAGTGGTGGGCCTAACTTGTCCATCTCACTACTAAAATATATAAAGGGGTACTCATAAGGAGACTGCTAGATTGCTATTCAAATTATCATTAAAAAAATTAAAGTGCTCACAATTAAATACTTGTATTCCCAAAGAATTCCTGCTGACTAAAAAAAATGCACATATCAGACTTTAACAATCCAGCAAACAAAAGCGTTGCTCTTACTTTTAAGAGGAGAGGATTTTGTAGCCTTATATTTGGATTAGGTTTCCAATACATATTTTTTTTATTCTTTGTTAAACAAAATAAAAAACTAATGCCAGTTATCCTCACAATCTGTACAATCCACTCACATTTGACCTGTTTTCTTTTAAGAATGGCTTTCATAACGTCAAACTTATCACATCTAGAAAAGGGGGCTCATAATTACAAGTCACAGTAACTTTATTAAGATGTTAGAAAATAATATAGATGTAAGTACAAGCCTCCTTAACTTTAGAATTAGCAAGAAGGAAAGTGTTTCCCTTTTTCACTTTTTTTTTTTTTTTGGTAAAGGCTGAACAAGGTGCCCAGAGAGAATAACATGCCTTCCATTCTCTTTTCTTTTATGCAGATGAGAAAAGAACAGAGGAAAGCCTGAAAGAAAAACAACTTTGTTTTAATATCAAAAAACCTACTCGCAATAGGCAGTAGTATACATATAGGCAATACTTTAATACGTTTTTACTATTATGGATAACATTTCCAAACCAAAAAGAATAAACCAAGAATCAAATTTTAAAAACATTAATTAAATTAAAAAACCCCAACCCCAAATAAAACACACCACTGTTCCTCCTACACATCATCATAAGGAGAATTGTAGCTTTTGAGAAACCACAACTTATATTAGAAAAATTAGGTCTTCAACCAAAGTTCTTCATATTTATTATCTTAAACCATAGAGTAAAACTGGCAAAAAGCCCATTATATCTCCCTCCTGCCTCAATAATATAACCAAAGTTTCTTCTTAAAAAAGCCTAGTAACTTAAGCCTTAACTGGAAAATGATGACAGAGTATTTTTATTGATCTTTTTGAAATTAAAAAACTATAAAGAAACAAACCAAGCAAGATTGATGGAAATGTCTGGGTAGCTGAAGCTTAACTCTTCTGTAAACTTCCCACCCCTAAAGGGAAGTCATAAGGAAAAAACAAACAAGCAAACCCAACAAAACACACACTCACACTGAGAGAAATAACTTCTTAAAATTACTGTGCACTTTTCTGATTCCTGTCATAAAACCTTAATAAACTGCAATGACAGGAAAATTACTAAACAGCTAATTGCTGTCAAGGAAGCACATTATTTTTAATATAGCTTTTAATATATATATATAAAAAGGCTCTTATGTCTCTCCAACACCCATATCATACTACTTTTCATACTCCTCCTACAATGACATCATATTAAAAGGCACAGAAGCTATAAAGTTTGAAACATAATTTGTTTTTCTGGGAAGCTTCTGGTGTGAACCTTGCAATCCCCATTACATCTCTAAAGCATCAAAGGAAATCTCCCCATAAGGAACAAAAATTCAACAATGCTACGTGATATTCAATCATTATAAAGTCAGCAGGGAACACTTGAGATTTTAGTCTTGACAATTTAGCCCCAAATAATGCAGGCTGTAAGATAAGTTCCCCTACCGTTCCTCTTCCCACTCCTCTTCCCGAACAGTTCTAGTTCAAACTAATTAACCCAGGAAATGCTTAATCCATTCCTGTTTGACCAAATACACACTCTTACATATTTCACAGGGACTGAGAAGCAAGACTGAGGTGTCCGACACTGCAAGACACATACCTCAACCTACCATGATCTTCTTAGCTCTTTTCTGAACCTTTAGCAATTCATCAATATGTCTGTGAACTCCAGGCACCTACAGTGTAGAACACTGAAGGCAATAACCTAGAAGCAGTTATGATATTCCCCAAATGAACTACAGTATTCTTCCACACTTCAAAAAAAACCCAAAAACCCAACCCATAAAGACCCAAAGCTGATAGTCCTTTCATGTACTAATGAAAAAAGTGTAATCATAAGAATCTTCTGAAATGCAAAGACCACCAAGGCAACTTATTATTTACCTTGATTTCATTGAACGAAGCGGTGTAAGTTATAGTCTTAATGAAACAAACAAGCTATTTTAAAATATAATGTTTTTAAAGGCTTTAACATGCTGTATGGCAAATATATAAGTGGAATTTAAAATTTACTGATAATGTTTAGGAGTGCCATTCATATTGCATTTCAGCTGTAAGACAGTACTGGATGTGTCACTAACAGACATGATTCCCAGGAGGTGTAACTTTGATCAGCTTAACATTAAATAGTAAGTTTTATCCCAAAAATAAAATAAAAATGACAATGCAATTTCTAAGGGTTCATTTGCCGTACTGAAAAACATCAGGTAATTTTCCAAGTCCCAGTAAAAAAAAAAAAAAAAAATTGTTCATAGATGAAACATGCATACACAATTAATCTGTGCATGCAAATGATCTCTATCTGGCCACAAACAGTGGTGTCAAGTTCTGCTAGGCAAAACAGTTCTCATATGGGGGTGGAGTTTGCCTGTTTGCTTCGCCTTAGCCTTCTTAGCCTTCTTCTTAGGAAGAAGAACCTACACACTTTTTTCTCCTAAAGATCTGATGACATCTGATAGCTTAACAGAACTGCCCTAAGAAATGTGAGACAGTGCTAAACTCTGCAGTTTTACAAAATACGTATCAGACTTAGGATCTTAAAATGATTCACTATCAAAATATAAGCATAACTACAATTTATATAGAATTAATTTTCCTTTCCCCAGTTATTCAATGTCAAAAAGATGAAATTCTATTTTTACACAAGTGAATGAACATTTTCCCACAGACTACAACAGAGTCACACGCTACTCTTGCACTCTCACTTGCTTCTCTAGGACTCAGAAATGACGCCCTTATGCTACACTTCCATTAATACTTATAACTGACTGTGCTCTTACTCTGTGCAGGCAGAAAAAGAAAACTCACAGCAGAGCTCAGTTGACATATCCTGATCCACATGTGCAAAGTAAGCCTCACTAACACTAACCTAGCTTATGTCGATGATGCTGTGGTGTGCTCCCTCAGCATTCCTTTACTTGGGGAGCAGAAAAGGAGAATTCAAATTAAAAAAAGAAATAGTACAGCAAAAAATGACTTAAAATAAGGGAGTTCATAAAATTTTGTTGCATTTCTGATCATACAAAATAAAAATTTATACTGTGATATTGAAGTTGAACTTTATATGAAACGAAATTCAGAAATCTTTCCTTTACAGAACTAAACACCTTAGAGACCCATTTCGTTTTAGCCTTCACCTTTAACACAAATGCAGGAACAGCTTCACGTCTCTTTCACAATAGTTTCAGGCAGCAGTTCAAGAGTGCCACCTAAAGAGAAAGAGGGAAACTGCATGCCTGTATATTTCAATCACTTCTGGATGCTACATTAGCCAGCAGATAGTAATTTCTTGCCCCTTTGCATATCCATCGCAGAGAACAGGTACCATGATTCTACAGAAAGAAGCAGTGTCTGATTAAATTTCCCCCCTTCAACATACATATAATTAATCCTTGATATTGCACAATATAATTGTAATTCTACAAATCTGGAATTACAACAATCCAGGCAAAAATGGAAGGTTTTACTTAATTAATATGTAAAAAAAAAAAAACTGATAAAATTGAGATTGCCTTAGAACAAACTGCAGGAGCTTGTTTCTTACAGCAAAAACTGGAACCTAAACTAGTCAAAAGAGCTCTTAAAATAGGCTCTTAAATATTTGCCAAGAAAATAAAAAAAATGAAAAAAAAAAATCACATCATCACTTAACATTCCATTTGAAAGACTGCCCTTAAAACAATATATGTGCAACACTGTGCTCAGTAAATCAGTTCACTAACAGCTCAAACCATGACATCTTACAGCATGAACTCTACCTGAATTAGGCACAAGAGAATCTCAGATCTCATGTTATAGCTTGTCATTTTACTGATTAAATTGTAAATGTGGTAAAAGAAATATATCTTGTTTCATCCTAATGAAAGCTACTTTTATGAAAATTTAAAAGCATTTTTATTTTATGAAATAATTCTAGCTGCAATTAGCTATAGCCTAAATTGTAAGACGTTTTAATGTTTGAAATCTGTGTCACTACAGTATTAACTATTCTCACTCTCTGACTTAGGATGTTGACTGTTAGTATCTCATCCATGCTCCAATATAAATTTGTAGGCATTTCAACAGAAGCCTACATATTTCCCCCCTCACACCTCAATACTAAGGCTGAGATGATTAAGGCCAAAATTGTCACTGCTGACCAATCTGAGGCACCTAACTGTTCCATGTTGTAACTGGTCCCTAGACGTCTTTGCTTCAACGTAACTCCTGACAAACTTGTTCTCAGAAGTGAACCCAAAGTAGCTAAAAAAAAAAAGAAAGAATTGCTAGGTCTCAGGTATAACACTTAGGAAAGAGGCACATTTGACAGCCATCTGTGAGAAGACTGGTTAGTATGACCGGCAAGAAATCATAAGGACCGCCCGCAAAGACAAGAAGAGAACACAAGTTTTTTAGAGCAGAGAAGTGAGAAGAAACACACTCATCACTTCCCTACTCTTAAAAAACTGGAAATTGTGTAGGCAATTAAGTGAGATTATAAGCCAAGCTAACATTCACTGCCTGTCAGAGATCATTATCCAAGAGCTATGTCAACCAGAAGTCACCTATTTGCAGTTAACAGCATGTGTGAACAGACAGAACCTGTGCAAACATCTCTCCACACATTAACTGCTAGTTGGCTTGCTCACATCACAATTTGTCCTCCAAGCTTCAGAAGAGGAAAGGGAAGATTACAGAATACAAAGTAGCTAGCTCAGCAAGCAGCTGACTGGTAAAATCAAATACAACTTCCTTGTTAAGAAGCGGAGACCAAAACCTGTACCACCTCACAAAGCAGTACAGATTGTAATTAGAAACTCTATTAACAGGAAAAAGCCTTTCCTGTACAGCTTGGATTCAACACTGGGCTCAGCAACATGCCTTCAAATTATCTCAGCTGACATTTTTACTGCGGTTTGCAGACCTACTTGTTTGCCACTCATCAGTAGGTGTTAATTCAACTTCTGAAAATGGAGAATTGTGATATAAAAATCAGTCAGCAAGTAACAGAGGGTGTGATTTTCTGACAGTCAAAGCATAGGTGCCTACAAACAGCTGTGAAGATGACCTGTAGACCAAAGACTATTAGGACACCGGAGGGGGGAATAAATAATAAAAAAAAAAATTTCTGACAACCTCACAGACTCTGCTTCCAGTCTGAAAGAGTTGGTCCAAGTGGGTGGAGCAAGGTGGGACAAAACTGCATCCTCATGCTACACTGTGTTAGCAGAGAGGTATGACAGAGTTGTAATTCATACTTGTGCATATCTTGGTAAGACTTAAGAGTGATAAACTAAAAATGACTAGTTTTGTGTAATTAATAAAGCTGTCCATCCCCAGGAGTTTTCACACTGTCCTTTTTCTTCCTCACAAACTTTTTCCACCTTATACAGCCTTCACCAATGTGATACTCATTTTCATAGGAGTAAGTCTTCTTCAATCACCAATGTTATAACTGCAATCACTTTGTTGTATTTTTTATGTTTTCTCTCAGTGCTCCTCAAACTTCTGTAAAATTGCACTAATCTTCAATCTCTTCCATACATTTCTTCTTTGAGATTGTGTGCACTGACTTACCCTGCCCGCCCCTAGCCCCACAAAAAATATCAGTAATAGCCTTGATCACACCAGCACTTTCACTGAACTCTAGTAAATCTACCACTTGTTGCTGTTGTAGAGCACTGGCTTCCATTGCCTTACTTGTGTTCATTCACTTGTTGTCTCGAGTATTTTAAGACAGGATATTCCCCCTTTTGTGCTAAGAGGGAAGATCCTGTCACAATTGGCCTATGGTCTGTGGCAGAAGCCTCTTTCTTTTATTTCCACTAATTGCAGGAAGTTATGCCTCGTGTTTTCTCCTTTTTTAAGTCTCTGCACTTTTACAAAGAAAAAAAAATTATAGTTCCGACCACTTCTGCATATTCTATAACTTTTTAATCTACTTTATATCTATTTTTATCACTTGACCTCCTTTGCTGTTATTTTAACATTAGAAAATGCATCTTTGTCTACTTCAGTGTTCCATAAACATTAATTGTGTTTATAAATAAAGGATAAATTCAAAACACTGTAATTCTGAAGCTCACAGGAAAAAAAATGCAAGTGAAACAGACCACAGAGACTTCTAGAACTAGCACAACATAAATATGAAATAAAGCATAAATGACAACATTAAATGGAAACTTACCCTGCTTGTGTGTTCACCATTCCCAATGAGTTTTTATGAGCTGGTGATAAAGTCTGAATTTTGCTCCCACTGGATCCAGATGAAGATAGTGCTTTACTTGAAGAAGCACCTTGCACTTGAAAGCCAGCAGGGAAATAGAAGAAAATGTTAGGATTTTGCTGCTGAAATGATACAATTCATTATATATATTTTTTAATTGTAAAATTCAAAACAAGATTTTTAGAAATATCAAGATCAAGATCTTCACAAGTGTCAAGATACTACGAAAAAGCAAGTATTTTCCTAAAAATTTACAGAAAACATGTAATTGAGACATAATGTTCTATTCTAATAAAAAACATTGGATCTCAATTACTTTCTTCATAAATTAGCCTAGAATGTCAAAGTGTGTACAAACAGAACATGTTTGACATCTGATGACACCTGACATCAGAATAAGACCAGTGTTTGCATAATTATAATATACATGTCTTGACTATGTATTTACACCAGTTCATGATCATAAGCAGCACACAAATTAGTTACAGAACTAAGCAACAGAAAAATCTCAGGTGAGATATCAGTATTTGATACCATTATGCATTACTACACAGAATGATTTTGCAGGTTTGATTCAGAAAAAAACTAATTTGACCCAATATATAAAACAGAAGAGAATCCTATGTGCTCAGGAGTCTGTGTTGGGCAGATGCCAATCAGTGACCTTTCTGACTTTACTTTAAATGACTTTTCACAAAACACACTATATCGATTTCAACAATAAAGTATGTAGCCATCATATATTTAAGTAAAAAAAATAAGGTCACAAAAACACTGATTAGAAAAAAATTGTATTACGAAAAACAAACACCATCTTATCCACTCATGCAACACTGAACTCCTATGAATTTTTTACTTCATCAGTTTAAAATCACTAGGCAATGCTGTAGAAGTCCTTCCAGCTATTAAAATTATACTGTTTTTACCGCATAGTTTGAAAAACAGTATTTAGAGAGGAAATGGAAAAATAGTAACATTCATTTCATACCTACAACAGTTTTGCTAACACCACTTGGCTGTGGTAAGCGTGATGATGATGATGGTGTTGATCCTACAGAAGGCATCTTCTTAACTGCAGCAGGCTTGTACTGTAACAAAATACAACCTAGAAATTTAAGCAATTAAATCAAACTATCTATATAACACAATAGGTAGTTATCTCAGGTACTGTGGGAAAACAGATGATGATTACCTACTAGGTGAACTGTTTCTAGATCATGCAAGTGGTTTCCGCTAGTCTGCTTTCTTATACATACAGATGATACTAGTAGGAAAGATTATCTAACTCAGTGGTTTTGTTTTTTCATTTAACTGTACGTCTTTGTGTATTTTCTACTTGTCTACAGCTTTATCATCTTTTTCCAGAGCTGTCTCATGAGATTAACATTATCACCTCATTACCAGTCAATTTTTAAAAGAATACTCAAGGGCAGGATCGTTTTTGCTTTCAAATCTTACTGTCAGCTGTGTGCTATAGACCAGTCCCAGCACCGATCCAGAATACAGTGTAAGAATCACTAAGTAACTGCTTGTCTCTCTAACTCCAAAAAAAGCTTCCAAAAAAACCAGCATTACCACCAGATAATACACTTTACCACTACACATACACTTTAATCCTTCATTTGTTTTCATCATGTTAACTACTGCGACTTTTACTTTAATACACCTGAATTCCTCTAAGCCTCTAATTAGCCAAAATATTGCTGTCAGTTGTCCTGTAGTCACGTACCTTTGTTTGACCACTTAAGGAACAGAAGACTTGCACAACAGAAATTCAACTTTCTTTACAAATACTGCATCTCTACTTCCTGCTCCTACCCTTAACCTGCCATTTTCACAAATCTCTGAATTACATTTATGACTGTTTTTGGCTTTACAACCGCTGCCATCCAATTTATGGATCTCTGCAACTCTCATAAGAAAGCAAAAACCTCTTCCATGTTCAGTCCAGCACAAATAATAAAATTACAGAATAAAATAGTTAATTCCATTTAACAGCAACACACTATTTAACAAGCTTGATTTGATGTCGAATGCAAGCTACAAGTTAAGAAAAATGTTGTAGTTCACCTGTGTTCGAGCAGGAAGCTTTCCTTTGGTATCAGCCGCCAATTTCCCCTTATTAGTAATACGTGCTGCTTGTTCCTTACAGAAATTGATGTGTCTGTCAGCTGCATTTTCATTAAATCTCCTCTGACAATATGGACACTGAATGTAATCTTAAAAACATAAAAACCTTACATTAATAACGTGTTTTAAAAAATAATGTGCTTAAAAGTATTTTAAAGACCAGCCCCAGCCCTACCCCCAGAAAACATTAAGGCCTCTTGAATCTGAAAACTAAATATAGATTGCTGGGGAAAAGAATATTGTCCACATGTAACACAAAAAATGTTTCTTGTTTGATGGATAAGAATGGGAAGAGTGGTTGAGGATCAGAAATAACCTAGACAAAATCAGAAACGCTTGGAGAGATACTATTCAGCAGAGTAGGTGGCCAAAGAGGTGCATGGACATGGCAGGGATATCAGCTGGAAGAAGTGGAGAAGAGGCTAAATAAAAAAAACCAAAACAAACAAACAAACAAACAAAAAACCCCCAAAAATCAGAGTTCAGTTTGTTCAAGATATGAAAATGTATTAAAACCTTTCCCATACAAATAGCAAAAGACAACAAAATCTGTTTCCTCTAGGAATTTTGAAAGAACTAAGAAATACTAAATGCAATACTGGAAATGACCATTAAAAAAAATCTGAAATTTAACCTAAAAAAAAAAACAATCTGAGGAAATCCATTCATAATTAGGGAACATCTATAGAGATGTGCAAAACAGCATAATTGGTGGCTGTATTATTTTTCAAGATTTAGTCACATTACAAACAGTACTACCTGCAGGAAATACTATTACTAACATTGGGGAAAAAAACAGAAAGGCTATGTAAATGTTTAAAATACTAGAAGATCCCTCATCTGTATGCTGGAAATATATCTCTTATATACACTGCCCTTGGAAAGTAAAATGTTTGGACCGCAGTTTCAGACAGACATTTTGGTGTTTAGAGATATGGATGTTGAATTGCCCAGAATACAGTATTCAAAACCATGGAAACATCAACTTCAGAAGAGCTGGACACTGGCAAAGCAGGTTAAATTAGGATGTTCCTAGGTGATTTTAGAAATGTATCAGAGAAAATGAGGACAGATTCAACAGTCACTGCCTCCAAGATTACAATTAGATATTATACGATCCAAAATAAGATTTTGATTACATTTTACTACTCCAAATGCAGCAGACCTGTCTTAAGTAATTAACCCTTTAAATTAGTAAAAAATTTTAAGTAAGTCAAATGATGTAGTGGCCATCAAACCATGAACCGTGACCCAAGAAGTGCGAGCAAAGGACACAAGAAAAACACAGAAATCCTTCAGAGAAGAAATGGCAGCATGGAAATCTCATGTGGTAACAACAATGAATTGTTATTTATTTTACATAAACTCCGCTACTGTCAGAATACTCAAACATAAACTATACCTTAAGAGGTAGAAACTCAGAAGCAGAAGAACTATAGCATCTTTGTAGTCAAACCAAGTAGGCCCAAACAAAGTTAAAGATTAAAAAAAGCAAAATAGATGACTAAAGCAGCTATGAAAGCCCCTAGATAATAAGAAGAGACATTTCTAGCTGGCATACAACTCAGTTCCCACAGAAGACTTTCAAAGCCCACTAAAGTAAACAGATCAGACTGTAGAGGATTAATGTATACTCTTTTTAAGAATCAGGGATTGTATCTTCATCCTTTTGTAAAATGCTTAGCACCAGTCAGCCACCTGGCTATCTGGAAGCACTGTTCGTACTGTCCAGAAGAACTGTCAGGATTTAATTGTAAGCTTTATAAAATACAAACTAATCAAAATAAGGTGGCAGCACACATAGGCAGTCAAGTTCAATGCAGATGGGGTGACTTAAAGTCTTTCTTAATATTGTGAGGCTATTCCACACTTCTAAGGAAAAAGGTGGAACAGGAGATCGAAGAACCAGCAATACTGCTTGTTTGCAAACTCAAAGAATGCAATTAAGTAGGAAATACTAATACAGATCTCTTTCCTTTTAAAGGAAAAAGACTAGCAGCTAGTTAGAAATAGGCATGCTGAAGACAGAGCTGAGTAGGAAAGAATGGATATATCCCATAATACCATGCATAATTCTCCCTCTCTACTACACGTAAAGTAAAAAGGGAGCAACAGTAGCTGCTCCTGCTCCATTTTTGTTCTGTTCTATTTGCGAGAAGAGAATCCACTGATTAGTCCATGCATCTTCTCTTTATTCCTGGTACCCTCCTCCTAAGTCTTACCCACTGCAGCAGGATGAAGCCAGGAGACTAAAAACAGTAAGACTTCACTTGGAAAAACTAAAAAACAGAAGGGAGAGAGACAGAGGCACAGTATCTTTCTCTTCCCTTTACCTCCTATCTGCTTTCAAGCAGGCTGAATAGAGTTACTTCCTTCACTTCAAACTAATTCACAGTCTCTGGAACCAAGAGAACACCATTTTAGTATCTTTTCCCAGCTAGATTGACTTCTGGGCTCTTCTGCTTGTAATTCAGAACCTATACAACTAGATTATTAACAATCCTTTCCATGATCAAGCCTTATATTTCTTATTCACAGCATTAGCTATTGGTTTTACTTTCCTTTAAAATATATATGGCATTTCAAGATAGTGTGTATTGAATGCTGAATAATAGCAATTCACTTCTTACTATGAATGGACAATTCCAATTCTAATACTGGACTAACATGTTTCCTGTAGAGAAACAAGGTAGAGAACACTCACATCCTCACTTGACCAGACAGGCAGAAGCAAACATGAGTTTCTTCCATTTTTCCCAATCTTTCTGAAAGTAGCCACTGAGCTGATCAAAGGGTTTAGCTCTTAGGACAAAAGGAAGAAATATATTCTCCAACCTATTATCACCGAAATTAACTGAAAAGTAACTTCCTTCCTACCTACCTCAGACTGCTTCAACACTTCACCCAGCCTCAGTTCTGAAGGCACTCACGGACTGTCACTCCTTTGTTAATACAAATTCCACACAACAACATCTCACATACCCACCACATGAGGAAGGATCACATGCACTCTAGAGCATACACTGCATACATGAAACTGGAATGTGAATTCAGCAAGCAATGGGAGAGACTACATTCAAAGAATAGTCGATGTGCATTCTTACAACATAAATAGGGTGTGGGTGTCCAGCATTGGCAGCTAATTAAAAAGACAGCCTACTCTTTCTGAGCAGTTCCACTGTTGTGGACAGAAACAAGGTTTTGAAACACTTTGTCCAGCCTACGGTTTATAAGACAGTAGCAAGCTGCAAGCTGGCCACAACCACCTTTCGATGCATTAAAACCAAAGTTACGGGCTTTGAAAGCTACACAGGATGGTAGCCAGCCAGACCCACAGTCACAAACCAGCATGTGCATAGCGATAATCAGATAGTCATCTTCAAGAACTTGTGAATATTGTATTCCAATAAATTTCTCTCCATTTCAAATTTTTACAAATTAAGCTTAAAAGAGAAAATCTCTAAAGAAGTTGATCATTTTACATACCAGGGTCATATGATGGTGGAGGTGGTGGAGGGAGTTTCCCGCCGTCTTTAAGATTAAGTCCTTTGGCTGCTCGTATAGTTGCTATAAATTCCTCGTGCTTTCGTCTCCAGTTGGAAGGTTTTTTGGGTGGTTCTGGCTAAGAAGCCAAAAAAGAAAGAGCTTTATATGTGTGAAGCTCTTACTTCAAGCTAAGTACGTGCTTTATTTTAGTACACAACATTATAGTTAGATTTCTTCCAGATCCTAGTTGGTCTAAGTATCACAAATTGCCAGCAGAAATAAGCCTTATTATAATGCATACATAGTTTGCCTAAAATGCTCATACGCAGAGTAAATTATAACATACCCGTGGCTTAAGAGGTTTTACTGTGGGAATGTCAGTTCCTTCTGCTCTCTGTCGGCTGGAATCGAATGTCTTCCTTTTCTTGGCAGAAGTTTTCTGGCAAATGGGTCCATGCTTTTTCTACAAGCAGTAGAAAAACAAAAGGAGAATACAGAACTTAGTTTTGAAAATACACGTTATTAACATGTTATTTCCCTCTTTCTCGATATGCCAATCAGCAAACAAGGCCCAACTCTTGACGAATAGGATCAGACTGCTTTCAAACATTTATGCCAGCCATTACTTTTAAAACTGAACTGCGGGAATTCACAAACACATACACATGGTAAGAAAAACTTGTGTGATGAAGAAGAAAAATAGGAGGCATCTGTATCTGCTCCTTGCAGGTAGGTAGGCAGCATTTGCATTGAGTGGAAAGACAAATCAGAGATGTCAAATCCATATTCATATTGAAGGACAGGCCAATTTCTACTAAGACTGGAGAACACATGATTTTGTGAAGATGGCTAACAAAGCACTTCATTTACTAGCTAAGACTGCATAATGCTAGGGCTTACATCTGCAGAGGCAAGGAATGATTCTGTGACCCTTGAGAAGATGCTTTCAGAAGTACATATTTTCAGAAAGTGATGGGATGCTGAAATAACATTAACTTCCTTCTAAGGAGCTTCAAAACTGAGACAACTGGAATCAATAATGGTTTGGGAAAAAAACAAAAAACCCACCAAACCCAAGCCTCTAGATCTACTTTATTAGCTATAGTGACCATTGTTTAACCCTCCTACCAACTTACCAGGTCCAAAAGCCAACAGTGCTCATACCACTTACCAGTGCTGCTGGAAAGAAAGTCCTTCCACAAATCCTACATGGCAACAGATCTCCAGTTTGCACTGTAACCTCTCCTGAAAAAAAACATACTTCTATAAGAGAAGTTGTTTAAATTCATGGTAAAAATTTCCGCCTAGATTGCTAACCTCATGCAGTTATAAATAATAACAGTTGTACGCAGCAAGTATACATTCTTTGAACTATGCAGACACTACGCAGATCAGAAAGGAAAAGATGATACAGAAGTCCTTACATACTTTTGAAAGCAGTCGGGCTCAATAACATGTCACCATCAATTCTGACAATTTACAATACAAAACTCTGCACCTTTAAAAGGATGTCTGTATGTCAACATGCAAATGACAGATTCACTGTAAGTCACAGTGAAAGCCCAAACACACACGAAGAATAATGATATTTTGTGGGTATTTCTGTGTCTTTGGATGAGAATCACCTGTTACAGTACCAGCTTACGAGCTGGCAGG